TATTTTGTCTCCATACCTTTCCCTTTTCTAGAATGTCATATAGTTGGAATCATATAGTGTGTAGACTTTTCAAAGTGCTTTCTTTCACTTAGTGATATGCATTTAAGTTTCCTCCATGTTTTTACATGGCTTGATGGCTCATTTCTTTTTAGTGCTGAATAATATTCCATTGTCTGTATGTACCACAGATTATTTACCCATTCACTTACTGAGGGACATCTTGGTTGCTTCCAACTTTTGACAATCATGAATAAAGCTGCTATAAACATTGTGTGCAGGTTTTTGCATGGACATAAGTTCTCAACTCCTTTGGGTAAATACCAAAGAATGTGATTGTTTGATCATATAGTAAGATTATGTTTAGTTTTATAAGAAACTGCCAAACTGTCTCCTATAGTAGCTCCACCATTTTTCATTTTGACCAACATAGAATAAGAGTTCCTGTTGCTCCACATCTTCTCTAGCATTTAGTGTTATCAGAGTTTGGTATTTGGACCGTACTAATATGTGTGTAGTGGTGTCTCATTCTTGTTTTAATTTACAATTCAATAATGACATAAGGTGTTGAGTGTTTTTTAATAAGCTTTTATTTATCTTCTTTAATTTGCTATCTGTGTATCTTCTTTAATGAAATGTCCATTCGGGTCTGTTGCCCATTTTAATTAATTGGTTCATTTCTTACTGTTGAGTTTTAAGGGTTCTAAGTATATTTTGGATGAGTCCTTTATCAATTTCTCTCAGAGATACAGACTTATTCAGATTGTTTATTTTTTCCTTTGTGAATTTTAGAACATTGGGTCTTTCAAGGAATTGGTCCTTTCATTAAGTTATCTAATTTCTGGGCATAGAGTTATTCATAACATTCCTTGATTATCCTTTTCATGTTCATGGGATATGTAGTGATGCACCTGTTTCATTTCTAATATTAATTTGTGTCCTTTTTTCCTAGTTAGCCAGATAGATATACTGATTTTATTGATATTTTCATAGAACCAGCTTTTGTTTTTGTTGACAATCTCTGTTGATTTCTTGTTTTCAATTCCGTTGATTTTTTTTTTACTTTTTATTAAGGTATGATTGATATACACTCTTATGAAGGTTTCACATGAAAAAACAATGTGGTTACTACACTTACTCATATTATCAAGTCCCAACCCAGACCTCAATGCAGTCACTGTTGCCAGAGATCCACTATGTCCCTAGGCTGCATTTTAAATTGATGCTGTAAACTATTGTAGTTAGTGAATCTGATTAGTGAGGTTGCTGAATGTTTGGTGTTCTGTAAGACCAAGCAGATCCTGATGTCACACTGGCTCCTTCCTACACAATTTTATCCTGAGCCTGAAGTAAATTTTGAACCAAGCTTAAGTCACACAGACTAGTTATAATTCCTAGAGCAGTGCCAGATCTAAAGACATAGAACAGTTATCAAAATGTGGTTTCAGGTTTTCAGAGGCATAGAGTAGAGAAATACACCTTCGAGATTCAGCTAGTTGTCTTAAACTCTTCCCTCCTGATCTAGCAATTGATTGAAGAGTAAGTGAAAAAAAGACAGGGAAAAGTTTGCCTGTTCATTGGCTGGATTCAGGGTACCTGTTTCTGTGATTGAGCCATTTGTTTTATTTTGAAGTAAATTATTACCCTGAGTTATATCTTGGATTACAGTTTCTAATACAGGCAGACCTCGGAGATACTGTGGGTTCAGTTCCAGGCCCCCACAATAAAGCAAATAGTAAAGTGAGACAAAGGAATTTTTTGGTTTCCTTCTGCACATAAGTTATGTTTACACTGTACTGTAGTCTGTTACATGTGCAATAGCATTATGTCTAAATAAACAATGTACATACCTGAATTAAAGTATATTTTATTGCTAAAAAAATGCTAGTCATCATCTTAGCTTTCAGTGAGTTGTGATCTGAAACTCACTGAAAGTCTTGCCTTAATGTTTGATGGCTGCTGACTGCTCAAGGTGCTGAGGGTTAGTCAGCTGCGGCAGTTTCAGTGAAGTTTGCTGCATCAGTGGCCTCTCCTTTCACGAATGATTTCTCTGCAGCATTTGATGCTGTTTGCTAGCATGGTACCTGCTGTAGAACATTTTTTTTAAATAGGAGTCAGTCTTCTCAAACCCTGCCACTGCTTTCTCAATTACGTGTATGGAATATTCTAAATCTTCTGTTGTCTATTCAACAGCCTTCAAAGCATCTTCACCAGGCGTAGATTCCATCTCAACAAACCATTTTCTTTGCTCATCCACAAGAAGCAGCTCCTCATAAATTAAAGTTTTATCATGAGATTCAGCAATTCAGTCCCATCTCCAGGCTCCACTTCAAATTCTAGTTCTCTTTCTGTTTCCACCACATCTGCAGTCACTTGCTCTAGTGAAGTCTTAAACCCCTCAAAGTCCATGAGGGTTGAAATCAGCTTCTTCCAAACTCACGTTGGTATTTTGACCTCTCCCATGATCACACTTTCTTAATAGCATCTAGAATGGTGTGAATCGTTTCCAGAAAATTTTTAATTGACTTTACCCAGATCCATCAGAGGAATCACTATTATGGCAGCTATAACCCCACAAAATTTATTTCTTAAATAATAATACTTGATAGTTGAAATGATTCCTTGATCCATGGGCTGCAGAATGAAAACATTAATTTTGTGCATCTCCATCAGATCTCCTGGGTGACTGGATACCTAGTCAATGCAGTAATATTTGAAAGGAATCTTTTTTTCTGAGCAGTGAGTCTCATCAGTGGGCTTAAAGTATTTAGTAAACCATGTTGTAATAGATGTGCTGTCATCCAAGCTTTGTTCCATTTCTAGAGCACAGGCAAATTAGATTTAGTGTAATTCTTGAGGGCTCTGGGATTTTCAGAATGGTCAGTGAGCACTGGCTTCAACTTAAGTCACCAGCTGCACTAGCCTCCAGTAAAGGAGTCACTGTGTACTTTGAAGCTTTGAAGCCAGACACTGACCTCTTCTCTCTAGCTGTGAAAGTCCTAAGTGGCATCTTCTTCCAATAGAAGGCTGTTTCCTCTCTATTCAAAATCTCTGGCTTAGTGTAGCCACCTTCATTAATTATCTGAGATTGTCTGAATAACATGCTGCAGCTTCTATTTCATTACTTCATCTTGTACTGTGGTGTTATGGAGATGGCTTCTTTCCTTAAAACATCATGAGCTAACTTATGCTAGCTTCAAAATTTCTTCTACAGTTTCCTCACCTCTCTCTGTCTTCACAGAATTGTAGAGAGTTAGGGTCTTGCTCTGGATTAGGCTTTGGCTTTTTACCATGACTGGTTTGATCTTCTCTCCAGATTATTAAAACCTCCATAGCAGCAGTAAGGCTGTTTTTCTTTCTTACCATTTGTGTATCCTCATCATTGTGTGTTCACTTTTTTGAGGGGAAGTAGCACTTTTCATTTCCTTCAGGAAGTTTCCCTTTGCATTCATAGCCTGGCTAACTGGCCCAAGAGGCCTTGTTTCCATCCTGTCTTAGCATTTGACACATCTTCCTCACTAAGCCTGACCATTTCTAGCTTCTGATTTAAAGTGAGAGGTGTGTGACTATTTACTTCAACACTGAGAAACCATTGTGGGGCTATTAACTGGCCTAATTTCAATATTGTGTATCTCAGGGAATAGGGAGGCCCAAGGAGAGGGAGAGAGACAGGGAAAGCTGCTCAGTGTAACAGTCAGAACACACACGTATTGATTAAGTTTGCTGTCTTGTGTGGGCATTGGTGCATAACACCCCAAAACCATTTCAGTAGTAACATCAGAGATCACTGATCACAGATCATCATAACAAGTATAAAATAGTGAAAAGCTGGAACTATTTCAATAAATAAACCAAAATGTAACCCAGAGGTACAAAGTGAGCAGGTGCTGTTGAAAAAACAGCACCAGTAGACTTTCTCAGTAGAGGATTGCCACAGGCCTTCAATTTGCAGTATCTCCAAAGCACAGAAAAATGAAATGCAGTAAAACAAAGTGTGCCTGTATGTTCATTGGTAAGAAAAAGGAAGGATTCAGATTGTTCTTTTTTTTCAGGTGTCTGTCTACAGTACCAGTAATGGGAAAAAAACATTGATATTTTTGTATTATTTCCACTTTTACCATTAAATTGTATGATTTTTGACAATGGGCTTCTCATCATATCCATTTCCTCACCTGTGAAGTGCTGTGTCTGTCTGAAGTGTTGGCGCATCCCACATCCTGTACCCCCCAGATGGATTTATGTGTGTGCTAAGGGTATCCCTGTTTTGCTTCTCTCCATGTTTCTGTTTTTGTTGGTTAACAGTGTTTACTCTGTCCCTTTATCATTTCAATAGCTACTTTTTTTATATTCTTAAAAGCATGCTTACATTATAGGAAGAAAACATAACCCTAGAAAAAGTTGAAGAATTGGATGTTTATTTTGATATAAAATTCTATGCATGCATTGGGTTTTCAAGGTCATTGCATCACTACACAAGAGACCACATAGGTAATATCATTTTCTAAATACAAACCTTTTTAGCAAGATGTTCTTTAAGAACAAAAACTTTTTTCTTATTTATATAGTTAATAACATGCAAATTATTATATAATACATTAAAATATAAAAAAAGTAAAGGCCATCAGAAATCCCACTGTCCAGAAATAGCCTCCATTAGCATTTTGTTGATCATCCCTTTCTGAGTGTGTGTTATTTTTCAGAATTGGGATCATAGCATTCTTAGTTGTTGTTTTTCCTGTTGTGAGCACCTCCTAGCCCTTCCTTCACATTAGTGCCTCTCCTCATTCCTACCTCCAGGTAACTCATGTTAACTTGCTTTCTGTCTTCCCATGTTTTTTTGTATGCTCATATAGTCATGTATAACCTGTAAGTACATGTATAAAAAGAGGTCTTTCTGTCCTTACATACAAAAATGGAATTATAGTATATACATACTTGTCTCGTAGTGTATTAAATGAAAGTACTGTGCCATGATTCAGTGATGTCTGTGTACTGTCTTGTAGACCACCTTAGAGCATGCGAGGCCTGAAGAACCCAGCTGGGATGAAGATTTTGCAGATGTGTACCATGACCTGATCCATTCTCCCGCCTCTGAAACTCTCCTAAATTTGGAACATAATTACTTTGTTAGTATCTCAGAATTGATTGGTGAAAGAGATGTGGAGCTGAAAAAACTGAGAGAGAGGTATTTCAAATTTCTTGCATTATCATAGTTAAATGTCACATTGTCAATTATGATGGCCTGTAGAAAAACTTATAATTTTTCTATCAAATTGAAGAATAAAACAAAAAATTCTTTGATGTTATAAATTAATTTTCTTGTGTTTAAATCTGTAATTTCAACTGGGAAGTCCTCATAGGTTTATAAAAATTCTCAAGTAAATGACCTAAATAAATTGTGGTGGCTTAATTCTGAGAGGAATAGCTTGTCTCTGTTAAAGGTTTGTTTTGTTTCAGACTCAGTGCAAAGTGCTTCGGATGCTTTCTGAGTTGAGGATCATATAACAAAATACCACAGACTGAGTGGTTTAAACAATAGAAATTTATTTCTCCCTGTTCTGGAGGCTGATCAGGGCACTGGCAGATTTGGTGTCTGGTGAAGACCTGTTCCTGGGCTTGCAGACAATGCCCTTCCGATGCATGCTCACATGCGCTGTCCTCGGTGTGCTCCTGTTGTGTCTCTTCCAGAAAAAGGAGCTCTAGCGTCTCTTCCTCTAGGCACTGATTCCATCAGAAGGGCTCCAGCCTCAGGGCCTCATCTAAACCTAATTACCTCCCAAAGCCCCACCTCCAAATATCAGCACATTGTAGGTTAGGGTTTCAATATACAAATCTGAGGGGGGCACACATGCAGTCCATAACATATGCCTTATCTCCTTGGACCCTCACCACACCATACTGTTATTAACCCCCATTTTACAGTTGAGCAAACTGAGGCTTAAATTACTTAAGTAACTTGTCTAAGGACAAGCTGGAATCTGAAACCAGGAAGTCTGACTCCAAAGCTCTTAACCACTATACCATGCTGCCTCCCTCTTCAGACCTGTTTAAAGCCCTGCTGTTACTAAGTCCATGGTTCGCTTTCCATTTATTTTGTAAGCTTCTTTACATTGGGAAAAACAGTAACCAGTGTTATTCCAAAAAGTTTTAATGAGATTTGAATTCATTCTATATTGATTACTTAATACAATATACAAATAATGCTTTTATGATTCTTTTTTTTTCTTCAGAGTAAGTAAAAAGATGTTAGCATTATTTATCATAAAGCATGACTTCCCAGACTGCTTCCTAATAATTCTATAAATTGCAGTAATAATTTAGAACACACTTCTTCTAGATAATCCATTTTAATCTAGCAGAATCTAATAACATTTATTACCTTAAAAACAGTTACTTAAGTCTGTAGGTATACATGGCATTAGGATAATTTTTTTTTACTGTTACTGATGTAATAAATATACTAATTACTGATGTAATAAATTTAATAATCAGTCCTGAAGAAGTAAATTTGAAATGATGTACTGGTTTGCTCCTGGCTGTCCTTAGCCTCCCATTAGAAAACCTGGGACTAGCAAAAGAAGAATCATCTGTTATTTTGACGGTTATCATAGTTAAGGAAATTTAAACACAAAAGTCGTGAACAAATGGATTTAATCATTTTTCCTGTGTACCTGATCGGCATTTTAGTATATTGCATATATTTGTCTATTTTCAAAACAGTTCTCCTCTTCTAAATATCTCCTTTGAGATACTTATTCTCATATCTAAGTAATTAGTAGAACTGTCTCTTTGTCAAAAGAACATGCTGTTTTGAAACATTTGTCACTATGGGTTTGGCTTTGCTGATGAGCCATGTTGAGATGGTCTGTTCCTTTCTGGACGGGCTGGAGGGGTACTTGCCGCCACTGAAATAGCTGAAGCTGTATCCCTAGAGGAGACAAAAATTTGATTTTTTTTTTGTAGTTCTTTATTATGCAGCCAATAAAATTGTGAATCTGTTTTTAATGAAATGAAGATTATGTTTTTTAAAATACATGGAAGTATAATTACCTACTACTAATTAATTACCTTCTGCTGAACTTCATTTGTTTGATTTTTCATACTAGGACTTCAATTAATATAACCTCGACCTTATTCTGAATCTGTTCTTGAATCTCAGGTCTTCAGGGATTAAACTCATTGTACTCATTTAGGTATACTGAAAAATTGCCAGCTTACCTTTAGTTCATATCAGTAACCATCACTAGTACTTTGATTTGCTGGTGAGCTTCTCTACATTGTGTTCTACTTTTTTGCCTACTCATTGCACCTCCCAGAAAACTCCGTAACTGGCTACCAGTATTCTGTAACTGTTCTTTTTTCCAAATTGAAAAAGCTTCCCATTCCACATGACCCTTCACCTTTTGGGAAGCTGAATTAACGTATTAATTTTATCTGCATTTACTAGTACTTTGTACCTTTTTTTTTCTGTTGTAGAATAGTTTTTTAGTAGGGGGCTGTTTTGATTTCTGTTATTTTCTTGAAATGTTCATTGGCCAAACTTCTTGATGGGGCTTTGCTTTTTCTTTTTCTTAAACATATAAACAATATTTAAGTACATTCATTTAAAAAATCATTCTGTGGTCTATTTTTCACATGTTCAAACTATTAGCTTGAAAAGGAAAAACAAGCTTATATTCCTCATAAGGTTAGTAATATTGCAAAAGTGAACAGTATAACTTAAGGTAAGCTGGAAATCACAGTTATCAGTGGAATTTGACCCAAATTTGGATGTTTAATTCACTTATCCAATTCATGAGCAAAAGTGACACATTTTCTTATTTCTCCTTTCATTTTAATTCCATCTTTAAAAGACAGCTCAGCACAGCATCAGTAGTTAAAATCTTTTTTCCTATGTGTCTTCAAGATATAAAGATTGTCAGAATTGTTAAATAAACCTGACATACTGAGCCAATGTATAGTATTTCTTCTGAAATCTAATAAAATTTCCTTTTATCTTAATCTTAGAAAGTACATATTATATAATTAACTGTGTCATTAACTACTGTATTTCTGACACATTTAGGGTAAAATAATTGTTCATGAAATTTTGTTTGTTAAATTCTTATTTACTTGTCTTTTTTTTTCTCTCTCACTGTAAATTTGCTTCTCAGATTCAAGATAAACTTAAAACTTAAAAATGGCAATGATACTTTTTATCCACTAGAGGGAATATGTGTAATGTAAAATATTAATATGTTTGTATCAAAGCTTGTATTTATGTATGTTTAGCAGTTATTTGTTTTAAATAAAAAGCTTACTTGCAAACATAATCTTCACCTGACCTCTAGTAAGGGTGAGGTGAATTAGTGGGCTCACTTGCATTAGAATTAAGTGAGGACTAAATGGCACTGAATATTTAATACCAGTAAGTATATGTAGAAATTTATAACGTAAGAATGAGTTTCATTTATCATTTATACATAAGTATCTTAATCAGTTACTATAAATAAGTGTAAGTTCTTTTTTAAGAACAGTTTACTTTAATTAACTAGAATGATAACAAAATCCACTTAGTTCATGTCTGTGTTTCATTCCTTCTAAGTTTGAAGTATGTTTTATAACACCTTTTTAATATATTTGCATTAATATAGAATTTCTTGATTCAAATTTTTAATGAACTTATTTATGAAAATATACAGAAAAGGCAACAAACCGTAGCTGTATAGTTCAACAAAATTTTTGCAACAAAAGCACACTTCTGTATTCATTACCCAGATCAAGAAATGAAATGTTTCCAGCACTGCAGAAGGCTCCCTCATGCATTTCTAGTCACTACCATTTCTCCCAGAAATAACCATTATCTGAACTTCTAACCCACTGCTTAGTTTTTCCTGTAGAGAAAGTAATTTTCAACTTATGCACATTATTTATTTGGATAAATAAAGAAGGTAATTCTGAAACATATCTTCACAATGTATCTAATATCCTCTGTAAAGGTAACTTTATGACTTACTACCAGTTTGATTCTTAGAACCTAACAGACAGTTTCTGGTTAAACTAACTTTCAACAGTTGAAATCACTTTAACTCATATACAAATAAATAGAAAATATACTTTGAGCTAGAATTGCAGAGTTTGTTCTTTAAATTTACGAAAAGGAATCTGGACTTTTAAACATTAGCCATGAAAATTGAAAGATCACCTTTTGATTTTAGATTTTGAATCCTTTCATTTATGCATTAAATTTAGTTTAAAATTTAGCTGTACAAATGACATCAATATTATATGACATTATCATCATCATTTCCACATCTCTATTTCTGAGTCTTCAAGGTGCTGCCCAAGTATTATAGTTACCATTCCTGGACATATTCCTACAAAATAAAAATTTTCACCTTGCAGAGATTATTCAGTGAATCTGGAATATTTACTCTAAAAATGTGATGAATATAATGATCTGCTTATTTGTGTTTTAGACAAGGTATTGAAATGGAAAAAGTGATGCAGGAACTGGGAAAATCACTGACAGATCAAGATGTGAATTCACTGGCTGCTCAGCATTTTGAATCCCAACAAGTACGTGAAGTACAATGACTTTCAGATATGCAGCTGTATTTTCTTTTACTTATTTATTTAAAAAAAACCAGTTGCACACTGATGGACAGTGACTGCAATGGGGTATGGAGGCAGGGGGGGACTCAATAATAAGGGTGAATGTAATAACCATATTGTTTTTCTTGTGAAACCTTCGTAAGAGTGTATATCAATGATACCTTCATAATAAATAAATGAATAAATAACCAGTTGCTGTACTGTCTCTTTAGGATTTAGAAAATAAATGGTCAAATGAATTAAAACAATCAACTGCCATCCAAAAGCAAGAGTATCAGGAGTGGGTAATAAAACTTCATCAAGACCTAAAAAACCCGAACAACAGCTCCCTCAGGTAATAGTCATGCATTGTTCTCATTAGATGAAAGTTCATTGTTAGTTACAGTTGGCATTTATTGTAAAATTGACCTTTTTTTAGGCATAGATATTTTTAAGTTACAATGAAAATTCTAAGTAATTTTATACTTCTAACACCTTTTGTGTTAACAGACTTTATGTGGATTATTTGGAAGGGGGGCAAATTGGTTGGTTTAAAATAGTGATTTCCCCCTAAAACTTAGCCCTATAAATCTGTTAAGTGTATAGGCCCAGATACCTCAAGTACACTCTCTTGTTTGTTTAAATTGATTTCCATTTAGTACAATAAACATTCATTGAATGAATTTATATGTCGACTTGTCTCTAAGCAGGAAAACAAAAAAAGATAGCTGCCCATGTGTGTGGAGCTTATATTCCAGAGAGTGATCTATAAATGGAACATTGCCCCATAGAGTGATATGTGCAATGTTGGCGTATAGAGGGTTTTCCATAATTCATATTTGTATGAATTGTATGGTACAATTCATTGTGTTTGATGAAAATTGTATGGTACCACATACATTTTGTTCATTGCCCTAGAGCTTGACAGTGCCTGTTTTATTTCCTGGTGACATACTTGTATATTTGAAAATTTCTTTCTTCTTTCAAACCCTAATATTTAGAAAAATTGGAAAAATATTTAGTCCAATGTAGTAATGTCCTTATTTCTAGCATTTGCCTGGTATATGTGATCAACATTTAGAAATAGCATTTAAGTTATATAGTATCAGTCTTCCCCACTGGTCTTGCCTTGACAAAAACCATGTCTGTTTTTCCTACCATTGTATACTCGAATCCTTGCCAAGTGTCCAGCTCTCACACTGGCATGTAAGGCATACTTGATAAATATTTGCGGATGGGTGGACAAATGGACAGATGGATGGATTATTGTTAAACTGTTTACCTGATAGCTATATCCCCTCTTTCTTAAATATAACCATCTTTCATTTCCCTTATTTTTCCCAAGACAATACCTTAGAAATAGTTTAACAATTTTTTATGATGCGAAATGGGACAACATCCTTGACACTAACATATTTGACTATACTTCTCATTTCAAATAAAAATAATGATGAACATAATGCAAAAGAGGGAAAATGGATTAGTAATATTTGTAAGTTACAATGTACAGTGGTTCTTAAACTGGTGGTTGCACTCTGCTAGGGGTCATTTTAGATCCTTTACTTTTCAATGAGACTTTTTAAAATAACAGTAACAGAACAGAGTGGAGTACAATAGAAAGTATCTCAACAGTCATGCATGAAGCTTCCTACAAACGAATGCATATATTGAGCCAAATTGCAAAATGTATAGTGCATAGTGTAGTCAAAGGTGGAAAGTCATTGATTCAGGAAGCTGAAAAAGCCCCTTGTTACAAAAATTCTCTCTCACTTTGCTGCTGTAATTTCACAAATTAAATCTACAGTATTAATTCCATTGTGAAAATACTAGCCTCTAGCTCTTCTTCTTTTAAAAACCAACTATTCCTAGCAAATAATGTTTTTACTGTGACTCTGCTAGTTTGCTTTCCTTTTTGATAGGCATTTCCATGGGCAGCAGAAACCTGTTTTCAACACCACGACATGTAGGACTCCTGTTTGAGATTGATAATAGTGGCATTTTATTTTTATTCATTTATTTTTGCTTTTTTTTAAAGTCAGATCTATTGAAGTATAAATTGCATCATGTAAAATTCACATTTTAGGCTTACATTTTGATGAGATTTGACAAAATTGATACGAACCGTCACTGCAATCAAAATACTGCATTTCCCTTTTACACCTTTATCATTGGTCCCCTTTTCCCCTGCTTAGCTCCTGGCAACCTAATCTGATTTTTGTGCCTGTAGTTTTGATTTTTCCAGAATCTCATATAAATAGAATCAAACTATGTGAGGCAGTTTGTGTCTTGCTTCTTTCACTTAGCATAATACTGTTGAGATTCATTCGTGTTCCATTTATGAATGGTTCTTCCCCTTTTGTTGCTTAGTGGTATTCTGTTCTTCATTTATTCATTCACTTGATGGTGGGCAGTTGAGGTATTTCCAGATATTTGCAATTATAAATAAACTGGTGTAAATATTCACATATAGATCTTCATATACATATGTTTTTATTTGTTATGTGAATACCTTAGAGTAGGATTGCTGGATCACAAGGTAAGTGTATGTTTAATTTTATAAGAATTGACAGACTTTTTTCTAAAGTGTTCAGTTTGCATTCCTGCCACCAATGTGTGAAGGTTCTAGGTGCTCCACATCCTTGCAACACTTGGTATTGGCATTTAGCCTTTCTGGTAGGTTTTGTTGTAGCTCATTGAGGTTTTACTCTGCATGTTCCTAATGCTAATGAAGTTGAACATCTCATCATTTGCTGATTTTCTGTCCATATTATTCCTTTATATTTTTCTTATTATTGAGTCTTATCACTGGTTCTTTATATGGATATAAGTCCCATCATTGGATATGTGTTTCACAGATAATTTCTCTCACCCTGTGACTTCTTTTCATTTTCTTGATAGTGTCTTTGAAAGAGCAAACTTTTTCATCTTAATTAAGTGTGATTTATCAATTTTTAAATGGCTGGTGTCTTATCTAAGATCTCTGCCTAATCTAAGGTCACAAAGATTTTTTTCTGTTTTCTTCTAGAATAGAAGTTTCATAGTTAAACTTATACATTTGTTATGATGTATTATTTCATATTATATATATAAATTAAGTATAATAAATATATGTATGTGTATGTTGTTCTGGTCTTCTTATAATCATTTAATTTTGGTATCAGGTTAGTGGTGGCATAAAATGAGCTGGTGGTTTGCTGATGAACCTGTTGAAGGAACTTATATTTGTGATTTTCAATCTGATAAACATGTTTTTATTTCTAGTACTTACACTTACTTTCTCTTGTTGCTGAAATTCCTTATCTGTCCTTATGTGGTGTTTTCTCCTAGATCTTTTAGCATAGTAATCAGAATTATTTGAAAGTCCCTTTCTTTAAGTCCCAACATCTAGGTCATTTCTGAGTCTGTTTCTGTTGATTGCTTTCTCTCTTGAGAGTGGGTTTTTGGTTTTGGTTTGTTTGTTTGTTTTCCTTGCTTTTTGGGTGTGTGTGTGTCTCTCTTTTGTAAACTGAATGCTGAATATTGTGCATATTAGAAAACAAGAGACTGAGATAAATAATATTTATGTCCAGGAATGAACAGGCCATTAATGGTGAGGATCAAACAAATCTAGTCAGCAGTTGAGCTGAGTTGGTTTTTGTTCCTTTAGTACACCACAGGCTTCATTTTCTACAAGAGTAAGCTGCTGCCACTTGTTGTTCAGAGTGGGGTTTCTGTCGTTCTGTTATATCCTCAGCTTTCAGTGGTTGTTCAGGCCTGTGCCGCAGCACAAGGTGCCTCTGCATGCTGCATGTACACCCCCCAGCGATAGAATGTTGTTTGGTGCTTGGTGCTAGGCTCATAGTTGGGGGAGGGAGGCAGGTCTCTATTGTCTTTGCCCAGCTACAAGCCCTGTGTGTCTGGGCCTTGGGCTTGCAATATTCTCAGCATTTCTACCTGTGCCATGAAAGGGGATCTCGTGTCTCCTGCCCTGCCCCCAGTGTGTTTTTTTGGAAGCACCTGGTAGAAGCCAGTGGAAAAGGGTTTGCAACTTCCTGAAAACTTCCCTTGTTCCTGGGGCTCATAGCTATCCTAAATTTACATGGTAGCCCATACTTGACCTTTAAGAATTTGTTAAAATTTTAGCTGATTTCTTCTTACCTCTATATTACAGGAACTTAATTTCTGCTGTGCTCTCCCAAAAATGAAAATTATGTGTCTTGTGTCTCCTTCAAGAGGCATGTCACATTATAGAATTGAGTTCGCTTGGCTACCTTGTTACCTCTCATCTCTGATGGGCTCCAGAATAGTTATGATTTCATGTATTAGCTGGCTTTTTCTTACTAGAGTGGGAACAGCATTCTCCTACGCCTTTCTGCATCCTAAGATGAGGGATAATTTATTAATATAAATTTATTTTTAGGTTAAATTTTCCATATTTACTAATTAGTCAGTGAGACTAATGAGACCGTTTGGATTAACCCCAAAAATGTAGTTAGGGGAATAGATGACAATTATAGACTTACATCACCTTCAATTACCATGAAATTTGAGTTGAACAGTTACACAGTCACCAGTACTTCCAAGGAAACCTTTTCAGGAAATAAGAGTGGAGTAGAGCAAGGACAGAAGTACTCAAACAGGAGGAGAATGTTAGTGGGGAAAAGAACAGGAAATGGTTAAAAAAAATTTTTTTTTAAATAGAAAATGTCAATACATCAAAATGAACTTCATCTTTTTTTTATTATTCCCACTATGTGACATTTTAGTTTTTAATTTTCATTTCTATCACTTCACCTATTTTCTAGTTCTGCCTAGAGCCAACCCTGACACAGGATATATTACATTTTTAAAAAATACATCATTTTATAGTAGTGTTAGTCACGTTATTTAACCATTCTCTTAGGCCACTAAGAAATATTAAACGATAATATATGAGTTGAGATTGTAATGAGTGAAAAGAATAATAAGCATTACTTGCTGAGAGGAAGTAAAAGAACACATGGGAATTATGGAACTTCTTGGTGCTTATGATCTCATTTGTCACTATGAGTTAAGGATAAATTTAGGGATAAATCGTGTGCTGTAATTTCGGCTTTAGTTTTGTTTCATTTCATTATGAGATTTTATTTTCTTTAAGAGTTCTTGACAAACATACAAAAACATACTGATAATTTTATTAATTTCAGTGAGGAAATTAAAGTTCAACCAAGTCAGTTCAGAGAATCTGTAGAAGCAAATGGAAGAATTTATGAGGAACAGAGAAAGTTAGAAGAAAGCTTTACCATCCACCTAGGTAAGTTATTATTTTTTTACAATCATAATTTATTGTAACTTGTGAAACTTTTTTATGCTGTAAGAGGAAAATCCATAGTATATTAATAGAATATACCCATGTTATTTTTAATTACAGATTATGTTCCTGCCTCAAAGAAGCCTATAGTTTGTTGGCTATAAGTTTTCCGTTTCAGCATAGATAGTATTTTTTGCAAATTGAATGATTAAAAATCATTAGTTATTAAAGTGGGAAATTGTAAGACCCATTTTTAATTATTTATAGCACAGATTTATCTGGATTCTTGCCATAAAGATTTGCATCCTTTATCCTGGATCTTTGCAGCTGTTTAAGCATCTTTCTGGGACTGTTGCCTACCCCCCAGGGGCCCAGTTGAAGACCATGCATAATTTGAGACTGCTGAGAGCAGATATGCTGGACTTCTGTAAGCACAAAAGAAATCATCGAAGTGGTGTGAAACTCCACCGACTCCAGACGGCACTATCACTTTATTCCACATCTCTCTGTGGCCTGGTTTTATTAGTTGATAATCGAATCAATTCATATAGTGGTATTAAAAGAGGTAAGTGATCGCTTCTCGGCCTTTTGGCTAAGATCAAGTGTAGTATCTGTTCTTATCAGTTTAATATCTGATACGTCCTCTATCCGAGGACAATATATTAAATGGATTTTTGGAGCAAGGAGATGGAATGGGAGCTTGCTCCGTCCACTCCACGCATCGACC